AGATTTGACCAATCAAAATAAACCTAGATGTAAACAGAAAATAAAATGCGCGAATTACGAATACGAATATTTCGCGCGAATACTTACGCTAGCGTTCATTAATCGTCCAGTCTGGACATCTCGCTAGTTACGCCATGGATTAACGTACGCCTGGCGTTAGATACGCCTGGCGTATCTCACAGGTCTGAACGTAGCCTCTGTGAGTTAAACGCAGACGCGATGGTGTGCGTCGGTGACAGTCGCGTTGTAGAATATTAAACACGTTTAATATTTCTTACGAGGCCTTAAGACTGTCCCCGACGATAAATCGGGTTGGGCTGCGTCGGCCGATGCTGTTTGAGTTGGCCTTAAGCGCCCCTCATAACAAGAAAATTTCCTTAGGCGCCCCGTTTGAATAAGCTCCCCTTCTTATTTGAATAAACACCCCCTCAATAACCCAATCAATCCTGGGACTGTGGATGTTGGCATGATTTGAGTTGTGGTGGAATCACATTCTCCTTTAGTCAATATCAAAGTGAGGATATTTATCTTTGACAGAATGATGAGAGCTCCCTGGACAGACAGTATATTTCCAACTTTCATCTTCTTTCATTTGTCTATAGCCTAGTCCTATTACTCATTTTCCGACAATTTGCACCTTTATACACATTCTCATCTAATTTTTCAAGAAAACCTGCAATGATCATGCTGTCCTGCTATTCTCAATCAACCAATGGCGAACAAGTTAACCACCACCACTAATTTCATCTGCTATTCTGCTGTTATGTAATACTGTACTCACAACATTCTTGTCATGACAAGCCATGCTCTCTGGACGATTATCTTTTTCGCCGCAGCACCATTCGTAATTTGCGGTTTCCTGATGTGCTTATTTAATCGTTTTTCATTCAAAGTGTGCCTCTTGGATTTAATAAGTTCTCATAAGAACCCCTCGATCTTCATCTATTTCGTATTTCTTATAAGCGCCCCCTCAATTTTCACTCTGTTTTATAAGCGCCCTGTTCGAATTAGTGCCCCATTTGAATAAGCGCCCCACAAAAAGTGCAAAAAATACTTTATGCGCCCGGGCGCTTATTCGCGCGAATACGGTATACTAGGTCTAGGCCTATATTTGTTTATAAAAATAAGTAGTTTGTATTGGTGAACTTGATATTTTCTCTGGGATTAGGAAGAAACAGTATAAATAAGCAGCTCTTTTTATATAAATCCGGTTTTCTACTTGGCAAATTTATTCGCGCGAATTGAAAGCGTTGGTTCATGCGCATACGCGTTCACATTCCTATCAGAGTTTTTGCGGAGCGAAAAAATACGCAACCAATCAGAGCTCAGGAAGCGAACCGACGCCTTGATTTGCGCGAATAAATTCGCCTACTGGAACACCAGCTTAAAGCTTGTTTGCTGCACTCAACAAAGTGTGGTCTGGTAAGATTACTGTATTTTGGTTGGATAACAAATGGCATGTGATTATGTACTTAAGCCATGCATGGTCGTCGGCCTTTGTGATTCTATGGAAAACGTGATATTTTAGTTATCTTAAAATTAATTTTAAAAATATAAAGTAAATAAAGGTTTTAATTATTCTTATTTAATTAAAATATTTTTAAATTAATTTTCATTTTTAAATTTCAATTATTATTATTATTGTTATTGTCATTGTTATTATTATTATTATTATTGTTTCTGATTACTATTATTATTTTTATGTTACCATCATCATTATTGTTATGTTATTATTTCTGTATTGTTATTAATATTATTGTTATTGGTGTTACTATTATTACTACTTTGAATTAGCATTATTACCATTGTTAAATATTGTTTTCTACCAACAAAAAATGTATTGTGTTGCTCAAGCATCATGATATTTGGAAGAAAAGTTGGTTGTCTTTTTAAAAAATATTTTTTTTTACTATTTCTGTATGCCTAATTTTAGAATTCATTGCCAATCGTCACTCAGCCCTATACTTTTTGGTTTTTGGAAAGTGGTAACAACTGGGCTGAAATCTATGGTTAAGATATCAAGTTTATTAAAGTAGCATTTTGAAACATCCCAAGTAATTTGGGCTTCTCTTTTTCTAAAATATATATTGCCAAAAAAATCACCAACTTCAAATTTTCAGGACTTGCAGTCTGTTGTGCTTATGCAACACTATTGTTTTTTTTGCCATGTTATCATTATGAATAGTTTATTAGATATTACAAACTTATTATTGTTTTCAGTATTATTTTCATTGTAGATATTAAATAAAGTCTTAAATAAGACCTGAATAAAGCATTAAGTTAATGATAACCATGTCTTGTAATGGCCCAATTACACAGGCCGCGACAGCGAAACACAACAGCGTCAGAAAAGTAGAACATAATATTCTGTTTTGGTGAACTAAACCAGACGCAACACGACTATGCTACAAAGCTGTGTGCCTTTCAGCAAAGAATCATTTTCTATTTCCATAAATGCAAACAAAAATACTGTCAGTTATTCCAGTCCTCATTTACTGAACATGCAGACTCAAGAACAAACCACACACAATGCGTGTGTTACGATCATTGTCGCGTGCTACTGTATGTAAATAAATTGCACTGTGTAACTGAACATTTGGGGTGCTGTTGCGTGCCGCTGTCGCACTGTGAAATAGGCCTTAATACGGTAAGAATGAAGTTTAAATAGAGTGTTGTCAATGAGTTGTGTATAGAGGCAACATTTTAAACTCTTAGATATTAATGAATAACTCAATAAAATAATTTTATATGATAAAGCAGGGCTCAATATACATTCAGTGTTTAGAATATTTTGGAAAAATTTTTAACCGAACCTGAATTTATATATATAAGATCTAATCGAGTGTGCAATGCACCGTTATTTCTCATTGTACATTGTATTTCAGGTCTGTGAACAATAAAGTTTTTGAATTAGATTTAATCTTACTTCTCATAGCCATCTTGGCACTGCAAACAAAATAACCGAATGAAAATAAAAGTAGATATATAATAGAGTAACAAAAATAAACACGCGAGAACATTCTTTGGACGTGAGCCTTTCGATCCATCTCTGGATCGTCGTCAGCGTCCACTATGTCATTACGGCTTGCTGCCGATTCCACCGTTTAAATCCCAGGGGCGGATCCAGAGATGTCCAAAAGGGGGAGCGTAAGGGGATGTCGAAAGTTGGGCCGATTGAGACAACACTATTGTTGGGGGAAATTTTTGTGTTCTACACGGCCAAAAATAACATTTTAGGTGTTCCGGGCTATCATTTTTTTCCTTTTCTTTTTTTTTTTTTTTTTTCCCCTTTTTTTCAAATATTTTTTTTAAATTTTGGGGGGGGCCTGGGGCCGAGCCTTCCCTCTCAATCCGCCCCTGAATTCCATTCCATTCATTTGGCAGGTGTAGTTAATGTATAGCGCCATCTATCTCACAACTCCATAGAAAGACTCCAGGTTTTTGTTTTTTTTAAATATTAACGTAAATTACACAAAAAGATAAAGAGGTTAGAATCGTATGATTTACCGAAACACTGATGATTCAACCCTCTTCCGTTTTTAAACCCATTCATCTTTGGCATTCAGATCTGGTTTATCTTCTTTTTATCCTTACAGTCTCGTTTATTTTCCTGAACATTATTTTGTTTGCAGTGACACAATGGCTAAGAGAAGTATGATTAAAACTAATGTAAAGATAATAATATTTACAGTATGTCTATTGAGCCATGTTTTTCTCGATACTCTGTTAAATTATGATATTACATGTAATCTAAGATGATGAATAATGAATGCGTTTTATTATCATCTATTTCTAATCTCATTCTTGTGTTGCAATTGTCCTTGTCTATTTTACACGCTGGGGTTTGAATTCTACAGCCTGCTAAGCATTTTAAACCCCATCTTTAACGTGCCAGCACTACGGGCCATCAGGGTGTTAAGACCCTTAAAATTGGTGTCAGGTTTTGAAAGTAAGTCGAACACAGCAGATATGAAACCATTCATCCATTTTTGGACTAATTTTTTTTTACCTGTAGATGGATCCTGCACAGAATCCACCCTTTAACTGTCTTTCCTCTTATTCTACTTGTATACCAATTACAATATTGTAGATGGATCTTTTTAAGACCTATCATCAGCGTCAAATTATTTGGAATTGAAATTAAATATTCAGTAATTAATCAAGTAATTAATTCTACCGACGTTGACATAGCTCTCAAAAATGTTATCTTTTGATTTCAATGTTATTAGCAAATAACCTTATATGTTTTCTCCTAGTCTCATTTTAGCTTTGCCTCCAAAACTCCCACCTTTTGTCAGAAACATTATACTCTTAATAAATAAAACACCTTCCAAAATGATTCTAATTCAGAACTTTAAAAATTCACAATAGTTATGTTAATGGTGCATGGTCAATTATCAAATTGAACATTGATATAACAGAATATTTTTAAATCTAGAAACCAGCATCATAGAAAAAATAGGGTTCATTTTGTTACACAGTTCACATACAAGATTTGAAATTCAGGCTGTAGCAAAATAACTGCAGTGTACTATAAATAACATGATTAAACAAATGAACACAACACTGTTTATGTGAACAAAATTATATAACTAAAACAGAATGAAAAGAGAAGTCAACACCAGTGGTAGAGATGACCAATTGTCTCTTATTGACTAATTTTAAAAATTACCAATTTGGTGCTTGAAGAATAAGGAAAGACCCTGTTTTATTTTCATTATTATTATCCAGAAATAATTTTTTTTCGTTTTTCGGTTTAACTGGGTGTTATTATATTGGAATATTAAGTAGTTTTGCTTCTGCAATGTTACAATGCTTTTACTGTTTAACATGTTTTTTTTTTAGATTTTCATGTTTATGAACATCCCCACCACCATGCTAATTATTGTGAATTTAAACAAAAATTTGTAAATACCAAATTATTTTTCTAAAACTGCTTCCTTGTTTTCAGTAACAACTGAATATATTATTACAATGTTGCTACAGTTATAGTAGACATG